TGAGATATCATGTATATAGAAATAAGCTATACTTACAGCTAGAGAGCTTTTATACGTTAAGGATACATCGACAAAATGTATTTAATAAAGATACAGTGATATTCAGAAAACTGTGGAAGACGACATTGGATCCCTAATTCATTAGATAATTCATAACAGTTCTCACTGCAAGTTGGTGAAAACTCCAACTTGAGATGGGTTTTAGATTTTTATTCTCCTAAAGATTTGCAAGAACTGTGTAATCATCCAACTATTCCTGATTGGGGTGATTGAGAAGATCTGATTTAAAGTTGGGATGTGGTAGAAATGGGAAATTTTTTTTCATTTTCTAACTTTTTGAACCTGGAATAGCGAGTAGTACAGTGAGAACCAAAAAATGATGGAATAGTATGACGACATTAAAGCTACAAATTAAATAGCTTTAGATACTATAAACTTGTAAATCACTTGTGAAATGGTCTATTTTTACTGCGTTGCCCGTGGAAAAAAAGTAAAGCAAATATATTTTGAATATTTGTTCAGCCAGGCTACCCATGAAATTGTCGTGTATCATGTTCTTTAGACAGTTTAAAGTCATAATTTTAGTCTAAAAGTCGTTTTCTATTCTACATAGAGTTTTCTGATTCTCACTCTAGCTGAACCGTACAGTCCTAGTTCAACCCCGTTTTTTTAGCTCCAGTTCAAGCTGATTTAACGGTTCTGTCAATATTCCAGAAAGCTGTGACTTACGATCACAATTTACCCTATTAGACAAAATTTGATAACCTTTTTTCTTAAGTACTTTTTTATCGGTATATACGTTTTGAATAAAAAAGTATTAAATAAACAAATCCATAAGTTTGAAAATGATTAAATTCTAAACCAAAACATGTTTTATTTCAAATAAAAGAAGTCTCACTCTTGTTAGTCCGGGGTGAGAGGAGTGGTTGAACCATCAACCATGTCTCTTGTTAGTCCGGGGTGAGAGGAGTGGTTGAACTATATCAACCATATCTCTTGTTAGTCCGGGGTGTGAGGAGTGGTTGAACTATATCAACCATATCTCTTGTTAGTCCGGGTTGAGAGGAGAGGTTGAACTATATCAACCATATCTCTTGTTAGTCCGGGGTGAGAGGAGTGACTGAACTATATCAACCAAATCTCTTGTTAGTCCGGGGTGAGAGGAGTGGTTGAACTATATCAATCATGTCTCACTATTCATTGACTTCATGCTTAACCCATTTATAGATTTAAGATTGATTTTAAGATTGAGTCGGGATCTTGAGACAGTGAGACCCCAAAACTGTGAAATATAAAGACGACATTTAAGCAATCCTATTTGTATTTGATGTTCACTGAAATCCAGAGAGCTCTGACAATTAAACATCAATTTTCTAGACTGGGTCGACTATGCAGTGTCACAACCCCTTGTTTTCGAAAAATAACATATAATTTTCTGGACGTTTACATACATTATAACATTTTTTATTAGCATTTAACCGGGACAATAAAGTTATCCTAAATATATGACTATCCTTTATATCCCTTATATCCCTGGTTTAGACATCGCCGGAAAAATGTAGTGCATAGGGTTTAACAATTACATGATTGATTTGGTATACAAGGACGGACAATGTCAAGGATTTATTCTGATGGTAAAAAAATATTCTATTTTTATTATTTCAAATCATTCTATAATTATTGTCTTTTTCCATTTATAAAATCAAAATTGTTATTGATTTGATTTTATTAAAATAAAAATTTATCATATTATAACATTTTTTTGTTAGCATTTAACCGGGTCAGAAAAGTTATCCTAAATGGAGTTTTCGTCAGAAATTCTAAATGCTAATTTTGAATTTAAAATTGGGAAAACGAATATATTTTTATGACAAAGCATTTAATTGAAGATAAAAAGAAACCGACGTAAAAAGGAACGGCATCAAAAATGTAAAAATTTTTAACTGAAAATGATGTCTTTCTATAAATTTTGATAAAAATCTAGTGGATTTAAAGATGCAATAATTATCCCATTAAAGGGACTATCAACGTATTTCTAAATGAACCCTCGAGTAAAGAGTTCACGATTCACAACGGTACCCTTTATATCTTTATCTGAAAAACAATGAGGAAGATATTCTCGTTTTAAACCGTCGTGAATCGGACATGTAAATTTTCATATGGAGGGTTTTCTGAATTACGTCTGCAGTCTCTTTAAGTAGACTTGTTTTTCTGAGTCCATTTGTAGAAAAGAAGTTTTCAGATAAATTGTAGAAATGTTGGTAAATGTATCGGTTTGTCCTGTTGTAAAATATAACTTCATTATCTGTGAGAAATTTATCTGAGTATTGAGGTTGAGGTATCGGAGTTCTCTAGGTATACAACTATACCTGCTCCGTCCTCCTTCTCCGGGATAGAGTCAGAGTAGGAGACAGGACGGAGAATACTCAGTTTGAGAGAAGGTACCGGAGAACAAACAAGGATATTATTGTTCTTATATTCACTTTAAATATATATTTATCTAACGTCCTGCATCAGTCCACACATGTCTAGTCTCAACTTTTAATCTCAATTCCCGTTCTTCCCTTTTATACTTTTTTCGTTTATATTTTGTAATTATTTCTAGATTCATTGTTTTTTTACTTGTTTACACTTGTGTCATTAGTTTTTCCCCTTTTGTACTGTTGTCCTTCTTTAGCACTTTGTATTCTCCTTCGCTCAGTGTTTTAAGAACCTAATAGTTCTTTATGTTTCTCTATTGACTCAAAACTGGTTTTCTGATCCTTAAATGTTTTTTGACTGTCCTTGAAATTTTAACCTTTTTAACCTTTCTTCCTTTATCTGATCAATCACGTGGAAAATATCTTCGTTTTTCTAGCTTAAAAGGAGATTAATTCTGGCAATTTTCTACATATTGTTTCTGAAGAGAATCCGCAAAACACTTTAATATAGAAATTACACAATTGAAATAATCCACGTTTTTAAAATGTTGTTGATAAAATGATATGTCAAGAGTCGCTTGAAATTACCTCTACAGTCCCAACATTCAATCTCTTATTTTTCTTATTGTTCTTGGTTCTCATGGTTCTCTTAGTTATCTTGGTATTTCTGGTTCTCTTAGTTATCTTGGTATTTCTGGTTCTCTTGGTTCTCCTGGTTCTCTTGGTTCTCCAGGTTCTCTTAGTTCTCCAGGTTCTCTTAGTTCTCAAAGTTATCTTGGTATTTTTGGTTCTCCTGGTTCTCTTAATGAGTTTGGTTCTCCTAGTTTTGCAGCTAAACTGTTTGAAATCTCATGATTTTATTCATTGCTCAGATTCCTTTTGATCTGCTTGTATTATGACTGCATTTGATAATATGCTCTCTGGTTTCACTGGTTCTCTTTATGTCCGAATTTTCAAGTTCTCCAAGCTTCCAATTTCCGCTGGTTTTCCAATCCCAATTTCAACCCCCCCACTTGCCATGTTTAACACTTCCCTTCTTTCCAACGAGGTTATAGCTGTATAGAGTGATAATGTACACTAATACTTTTCTAACTGTACAGGCCAGGAACTATACCGAGAGCGTACTGAATATTTTATTTTTGTAAGGAGAATCTGGCCTAACCTTTAGTTTATCATATTCAGTAAACAGTTGTATGTGAACTGTCTAGCTAATCTTCCCCTGCTTCTTCCACTCTATTCCCATGTTCTCCTCTCTCCATTTCCCAACATTTTCCATGATACCCCCTTTTCTTGTTCCCATTTCCTTTGTTTCACACCTCCCTTTTTCCAGCTTCCCAAGTTTGATACTTCCCCTTTTCCCACTTTCCTCGTTCTACACTTCCCATGGTTCCCAACATCCCTGTTCCTCATTTTGTACGGTTCCCACTTTATGAATATTGAATGGTTGGAAGTGGAAAGGTTTATATTCTAAATATTTTATGAATATATATCTATTTAATACCGCTCTAAACCGGATTTAAATTCACAAATCGCAGATTTTATTCTCAAAGAGATTAAATTTGTTGCTTCGCAGCTCAAAAAATTTTTAGCTAATATTAAAACATTGAGCTAACTTAAAATATTGAGTTAATATCAAAATATTGAGTTAATATCAAAATATTGAATTAATATCAAAATATTGAGTTAATATCAAGATATTGAGCTAGTATCAAAATATTGAGCAAATGTTAAAATATTGAGCTAACTTAAAATATTGAGTTAATATCAAAATAAAGAGCTAGTATTAAAATATTGCATGAGCTAATATCAAAATATTGAGTTAATATAAAAAATTTGAGCTATTATCAAATATTGAATAAGTGTCAAAAAGGTTGAAAATATTAGTTTTTCAACAATGGTAAAACTATTGGACACTTTTTATAAAAAAATGCTCCAATTTGCACCTGCAGTCGAATCCTTTAAAGTTGGTTTGATCACAATTTAAAAAATAGACTCACATAATCTACAGTTTAACCCAGAGACATCGCTAGAATTTATCAAATATTGTTTCTAAACCTACTGATGATGGTATGCTGCAGATATATATAGTTTTTTAATTGAATAATTTTATAATTCATCATTTTAATCTCTTTCAAACTGTTCCCGCATATTTCATGGCTATTCATTTATTTTTACAATAACAGGCTACGTATAACAGTTTAAAAGACTAGAACCCATTGGAATTCTTTCAATTTCTCCAATGTTCTGGGTTAAACTGAATGATTTTTCAATTTATTGTTTAATGAATGATCTTTTGATAGAATGACTATAATATTTTTAAAGAGTAATGAACATTTCTTTGTTTTTATACAGTATATAGATGCCACAAAACCCTTGAAATTTGATGATACCAAAATCAAAATAAGTATTCTTCCTTCAAAATAGTCTTTAAATATCTGATTTAATGATTTGGCGAGGAGAAAAATAAGTTTTACAGTCGCAGGAAAATAAATTCCGCACAGTCGTCTCTCAATTCTCATAATTTGTAGTTTATCCTTTACATAGAAATGTTTTTATTTTGAATATTTTGTTTTCAGGGAAAAATGTATAAGAACTAATAAAATTACGAAATAATGGCGAATTTAAGCAGTTTACAGTTTACAAGATGTTCCCCTCGGGGGCCCTAAACTACCCACAGGAACATGTTCCTACAGTGACAAATTGAAACCTAACTGTGGGCCCCTAGCCGCCAATCAGAGTTTACTTGGGGTCCCTTGTCACTGAAAGGTTTAGAGAAACAATGGTGACAATGTCAGCGATCAAATCCCCCCTTGGGTTTATGAAATTTATTATTATTGTAAGTATCAATATTTTTTTTTTAATCTGAATATTTTATATAGAAATTCTACTGTACGAACTGTACAGTCTTCTTTATACTAAACTAGCTCGGGAACCCAGCTTTCCCTGTAAACTAAACTCTCTCTATATAAGTTAATCCAGGTTACTCGACATAGTTTCTCATGCCGTTTACCCGCACTTTGACGATTATATCGAGAAAATAAGTTAGCTATAAACTTAAACTTAGAATTTCAAAACCAAGCTAAGAGCATTCCAATGGTTTCTGAATCCCGAGTTCCACAATACAAATTTGAGCCCAATCAGTCAAGGGGTTCGTGAGTTTTGATCGGACATCCAACAGACAAACAGAAATTACTATTTTATATACAGAGCGTCCCATATCATTTTAGATTATTTCCAAGCTTTATGGCCTAAAAATGCACAGAATACTCGAAAAACCAATTATTCTCTACAAGAAATTTTTGATAGAAACTTTTTACACTTTTTAAATTGATTCATTGTTTTCAAAATTTCTGATTAGTCCCTAAGATCACAATTTTGAGCTATACACGATCTAATATGATGTGGGACACCCTGTATATAGATTACGGAGTGTATTCATTGTTGTAGTGTACAATGTGCGGGACAGTACAGTGCAGTACAGTTCAGAACACTATACTGTACACTTTTTACTGACTTGTATTTTGAAGTGACACTGTTCTGCACTTTGTTTTGTCACATGCGTTACACATTTTCCTGTACTGTACAGTAAATACACAATTTTTTGAATTTACAAAACGTACATTTCGTGACTTCGTCCTTATTTCAGAGCCTGCTGGTGAGTATAGTCGTCCTCTCCTACTTCGGGAATGAAGGCGGACGATTATATTTCGGACTGCAGGACTACCTGGGGGTAGGGACTGCAGGAGGATTCAGTATAATCATCCCTATTCTACTCTTCACATATATATTCGATGGAAGCATATTCGTTCTGGTAAATACGATCATTTAATCAGATATTTCACAATTTTTTGCAATAGTTTAGTTTTTAAGAAAGTCGTCTTTGATCTTTGGTTTGATTTGTGACATTCAGTCATCATCGTCAACCTACTTCAACAAATAGGATTCTTTAAAAAATAATCACAAAATTCTCATTGTTCTGGCATTTCCAAAAAGTAGTCTGCCTTTTTGTACTGTCAATATTACCGGAGATGTTAAGAATTTCGCTCAGATTTCAATTTTATAACCAATAAAACCAAAAAATAAAACATAACGAAATTGTTTATATCTAGTGTAATATAAAAAGCAAAAAAAAGGCAGACCACATTTTGGAAATGCCAAGACTTAAATGCGGTATATTTTTTCTGATTATTATCTCTAGAATTTTACTTCTAAAATTAGGGTGAAAAATAAATGCAGCAAATTATATCAAAACTCAAAGACGGCCTTCAAGTCGTCTTGATACTGTCATGTTTAGTGGGACACCCTGTATGCCAAAATTTAAGCACAATAAATACCCAGTTGATGAAACTTTAAGCAACGCATTCACGGAAAGAAAGAAATCTTTTTTTACATGTTTACCAAAATCAAAAACAGTTGAAAAAATAGTGAAGGACATGGAGACGTAATTTCAAGCGACCCTCCATATAATCCTTAATTTGTATACCTAACAATTGATTATTTTCAATTGGGGTTACTCGTTACACAAGAAACTCGCGAATTTTTGCTCTGAAAGCAAACACGCAGAACCACAGGTCTTGTCAAGGGCGGAGCCACTATATCAGAGTTACCGATTAAGAAAAAGAAACATAATCTAATAATGATTTAAAAACACAAACATATCACCATATATGTCATTTAATAAAATTAAGAATTTTTATTGAAATAGCTGGTTATTTTGTAAATAAAACAATGAGTAAAACAACGCCAAAAAAACTCTACATTGATTTGCAAATTTTAAATCAGGGAAGTTTTGGGAATCATTGAGTCCTTGCATTGTAAAACAAAAACAAATTTTTGCGGATTTATGAAAAAAAATTATTGTGGATTTTCAAAATTTTTGAAAATCGAATTTTGTTAAAGACAAATTTTTGAAAATCCCATCATACATAAACCTTCCATGGGGTCACGCGAGGTCACACAAAAAATGTGGGCCCGTTTTGACGTTGATTGGATACAAACAAACAAGCAAAGTATATGCAATGCAGTGTTTAGAACTTACTCTCACAAAACATTTATTTTTTCATTATACTCTGAAATAAATTAATATTTCACATGAAACTTCAAAAAAAATTTCCAAGTAATGGAATTGCTTATTATCTATTCATGAGAAAAGAACAAAGTTAAATTTATCCTCAGATGAAAATGTTTTAAAAGATACATTTACGATCTAGAAAATAAAATTTAAAAAAAGTAAAAGTTTGGGAAAAAGAAAAAATATCGTGAAACAATTTTACTATAAATGTTTTCTTAGGTAAGACAAAATATTCCTTAACAACCAGAAAATGTTTATTTTTCCAACTAAAAGACTAAGAAAAAGCATGATATGAATTGTGTTCATTGTTTCTTTTTAAGTAGGAATTATAAACATAATTAACAAACATTTTTAGTATCAACTCTATATAGGTTGTAAACTTGTAATGACTGGGTAGTGAGGCCAGAGCAGAGGGATAGGGGGGGGGTAATTTGTGATTTAGATTAATCATAAAATGTAAACATCATACATAACATTTGTTTTCCTCAGATAATGTTGTATTAAGAATCTAAATACGCAAAATAGTTTTCATTTTTGCTAAATTCATCTGTAAAACTTAGTCTGTATTATAAGAGTTCATGAGACGGGATTTTTTGAAGAATTGAAGTTAAACTGCAAATCTTTGGAATTTGAATGTTTTACTTTTTTTAACTTTTGTGTAATAATACAACTCCATGTAAATGAGCTTAACTGATTCCTTCCATTTGAAAGTACTCATCAGCGCTTATAAGTTTATGACAAAGACGTGAGATCCGTGAGATAACAGCAAACAATTTCTATAGTTATAGCGGAGCAAACTAATTTATATTACAGTTTAATATAAGAAGCCATTTATTAGATGAGATTAATATGAATTATGCTGTAATGTTCACATAGTGCAAACCAAAGCCTAAGATATGTGGTAAAGTCCCCAGGGAATTATAAAGAAAAGGAAGTCTTTTGTCTGAAAGGGGGAAAATGGGATATAGCTGTGATTCAGATGAAAAGAGTCCTTTGAGAGTTAGGAAATAATTAGATAACACTTAATCATTACAAGGCATCCAGGGCACTTCGCAACCCTCCTTTTATCAATAATATTAGTTTTTTTGTGGTTTATCTATCTAAAAGCATTAGAAGTTAGAGATATTAACAATTGAAATTTTGTTGATTTACCGGTTTTAATTCGTTAATTTTTTCAAAATTTCAAATAAATGATTTCTCGCAACAAATTCTAATTTTTTTCCGCCTTATTTTTGCTAGTGATAATGATAACTGCAGGAATTCTATTTGAAATATCAAAATTGTATACCACCAGGTTGCAAAGATATGGGAATTGAAATTGAAAGTTTGAGGCGAGTAATCATTTGCTGTATTTAAAGAAACATTTTAAAATTGTGATCGGTCAAAAACTTCCCCGGGGGTAATGTGCGGTCCCACAGAAAATTTTAGCCAAATTGGTTCAGCCGTTTTGACGTGGATCGGAAACAAACAGACAAGCCAAATATTATTAGTATGAATATATAATTTTCATGGCAAATGATTTAAGACTGTTTTTATAATTTTGTTTAATAATTTATTCTTATCATAATATTATCATAATTAATTAATTATTAACTTTAATAGAATTTTAAGGAAATCAATTTATCATCAAAATCATTAATTATTAATTAATCTGAATCAATATTTTTATCCTAAATGGGGCCTTTACTTTCTTCATTTTATTCCTTCGGTAACAAAGTTAGTAGAAATTAATTTTTTTTACTGCTCCCCCTCCTCCTTTAAGCTACCTTTTGATTATACTAATACTAATAATGATAATATAATATTTGATATATTGTGTGTTCTTGTTTTCAATATTGAATATTAGTATTCTAGAATTTGCCAGCAGAGCAGAGCAGAGCAGAGTAGATAATTAATTTTCAAAGTTTGTTCCTTCAGTTCTCTTTAATCTACAGGCTTTGTATTGCAGGGATCAAATAGATTTAGGGATTATTGTTACAGTATCAAATAGATTTAGGGATTATAAAAACAGGGTCAAATAGATTTAGGGATTATAAACCAGGATCAAAGAGATTGAAGTATTTTGGAAAAAGGATACAATTATATTTAGGGATTGTAAACTAGGGCAAAATAGATTTAGGGATCATAGAAACAAGATCAAAAAGATTTAAGCATTATGGCAACAGGATCAAACAAATTTAGGGATTACGGAAACAGGATCAAAAAGATTTGGGGATTGTAAAAACAGGATAAAATATACGATTTAGGGATTATTGAAACAGGATCAAATAGATTAAGAGATTATAAACCAGGATCAAATAAATTAAGGGATTATAAAAACAGGATGAAATAGATTTGTGGATTGTAAAATCAGAATACATTATGTAGATTTGGGGATTATAGAAACAGAAATATATAGATTTAGAAATTATTTAAACAGGTTGAATAGTACCTAAAATTGTTGGAGTTGAAAAAGCATATTATTATTTGAAAAAAATTCATACAAACATTGAAACAGGATCAATTGAATTTAGGGATCATTGGAATAGAATCATAAAGGGGCAAACTAAACAAAGCTGGTGGGGTAGGTAATTCAAATTGACCACTGGGTTAAAGGGGATTATTAAGATGTGTAAAGTAAATAAAGGTGAGGATAAAGGTTAAAAGGGGATTATTAAGATGTGTAAAGTAGATAAAGGTGAGGATAAAGGTTGAAAGGGGATTATTAAGATATGTGTAAAGTAGATAAAGGTGAGGATAAAGGTTAAAAGGGGATTATTAAGATGTGT